GACCGCTGCCCATAGACATCCGCAATTGCAGATGCGTTGCCTACCCTTATCCGACAGAGAAGGAGATGCACATAAAGAGGATATTTCCCCTTCTTATGTATCTCCTCCTCCATCAAATCCACTTTCCCTTCCCATCCTTTCCTTATAAAAGGGTGGTAAAGAGAAATGGACTTAAATTAGGCCTCCGGCACCACACTCATCAGACAAAACACGGAATTGCTTCCTTTTCGCGCCTGTCTTCTGTGTGGTCGTGGTATGACACTGGGCGTACCGGCCCTGCAGTGCTAAGATGTTAAAGCGGGCACTACCACTGAAAGTTAGTACAGTTAAACTATTGCTTAGTAGAAATGTGGAGAAACGTTCTCTAAGAGATGGTAAATGCTCAGGAATAAGGAAACAAAGTAGAGATAGAGAAGAAACGAATGTCAGAGGAGACATAAATCTTTGTTAAATTGTAAAAAAGGGGTACAGAAATCATTGTCGCGTGTAGACAGTTATTATTGTTGTTACATAATGGATCGGCCGTGAATTTTAATGCAAAAAGTGAGTGCAATTGTATGAATATCGGTCAAGCTTGGCGTCACGCTTCATGTTCATAATTATATATTTCTATTGAAACAGGCATTGAATTGTATTTTATTATAAGAGCGAGCAAACCTTTGACTAAACTATCGAACTGTTTAGTTTCCCTTGCTGCGAAACAATCGACAATCGCACAACATTTGCGATAGTCTAGTCAAAGGTGTGCCGTTACTAAAAAAACTCTTAAATGGTTTAATAGATACCGATGAAAGTTACAAATGTAGAACATAGTCTGGAAGAACACATAGTCTATTTACTAATTTATTAATTCCCCACGGACAGAATCATAGACGACAATTAGATCTGATGTCAATTTACGGCTACCTTACAAATTAAATTTTTTAAACTTTCGTGAGACATTTTATAATTAACTAGCTGTTGCCCGAGACTTCGTCCGCGTGGTATTAAATAACATACGAACTATATCAATAACAAAAAGCTACGTATCCCTCGGGAACCAGACATTTCTTGAGGATGAACCTTATCCCATGTATACTCCAGACTTTGTTTTATATCTGTGCCAAATTTCAATAAGATATCTTGAACCGTTGCAAAAAGATCTAGTAAACATTAAAAACTAAATTAATGAATCCCACGGGAACTGTAACTATTCCCGGGATAAAAAGTAGCCTATGGTTCTTCCAGACTACGCTCTATACCTGTGCCAAATGTCACGGAGATCCGTTCAGCCGTTTAAGCTACAAACGCTAACAAACATCCATCCATCCATCTAAACTTTCGCATTTATAATATTAGTAAGATTATTTTAAGGCTTCCTCACGTTATACTTTTTTTCTGGTGAAGGCACCGACCAGATTCAGACCCTGGGGTCCTTCTTCAACATCATTAACCCTCGCCCTTAAGTACCGGAAAAAAGTATAACGTGAGTAAGCCGTAAAATAATTAATTATCTTACTAATTTTATAAATGCGAAAGTTTAGATGGATGTTTGTTAGTTTGTAAACTGTCGAACGGATCTAGATTGGCATAGATGTAGAGAATAATCTAGAATAATATAGGTTACTTCTGTTTTTATTCCATGCGGATGTCACGTGCGAAAGCTAGTATGATATTATTAACGAGTACGAAACAAAGCAACAATGTGTTGCACGTTTTCATTATCAGGACACAAGTAGAGTCTGCGATAAACTTTGGCCTTTCTTTATTACCATTATTGTTACAATTTAGAATGGGATTTGATTCAAGTTACATTTAAAATATCATAACTAATTGTTCCCGTACTTAACCGCATGTTATAACTGTATTTTAATGTTTACATTACTTAAAACTTTGCGTAATTAAGTAACCATGGAGGAGCATCGATGGCTCAGTGGTTTAAGCACTTGATTTGTACTAGGTCTTGGGTTCGAATCTCGCTGTACTGATGATTTTCATAATTTACCCGACGTTCTTACGGTCAAGGAAAACATCGTGATGCATATATCGGCGAAGACATTCAAAGATATGTTGAAGTCAACAAACTCTCAGAGGACCAGCGTGGTTGACTAAGGCCTTGTCAGCTCTTACTTAGGGTAGGTTACGAGCCCCTCATTGGGGACGTATAGTGTTAGAAGAAATTATGACAATCTTGAGTCTTCGTTGCTATTGTCTTGTAATTTTTATTTCTTTTTTCTCGCTGATATTTTTTTCTAATTTACTCACACCTTAAAAGCGTGAAAATGTATAACTTAAGAGTGTAAGAATAAGGCTTATTATTAAAAAAGTATGCTATGATTTCTGATAACAAAGTGTGTATTTACGCTTTATTATAGTAGTAGGATGGGAAGGAAACATGGATGTGACGGTGGAGCAGACAAGACAGCAGTAAGGGGAAATGTCCTCTTTATGTGCGTCTCCTCCTCCGTCAATTAAGGGTAGGCAACGCATCTGCAATTGCGGATGTTTATGGGCAGCGGTCGCTTTCCTTTTCGGTGGCTTCAGGCCGTTTGCTCGTTTGCCACCTTATATTATAAAAAAAGTATAGATAGATAAAGAGAAAAGGTTTCACCTCCATTTTAAGTAAATTCCGAGTACGGATGAATGTCAAAGATATTTTAACGTAGAGACAAAATTTAGGAACACATTTTTCGAGTCGTGGAAACCACTAGAATGTGCTAGTTATTCATTTTTAATGATTTCATCTTTAGAAATAGCCTATTCCTTGTACGGATTGCTAATGTTCTAAGAGTTTAAATTGTTCTCTTACTTTCTAATATTTTCGACTCCTAATTGTACCATTATTAACGTTTATTGCGTAAGAAAATAATTATCTAAAGTTCGGAGGTGATATCTTATCGTTTCCTAGACAACTTGTTTGCTTTATTAGATTATGTTTTTTTCTAATATTCTTCTTGACCTATGATATAATAATATATTGATGCTTCCTTTAACAAGTAGAGGTAGACATAGAAAGTGATGGATTGCGTGAAAGGTGACATCTAGGGGGTGTTGAGATGACGGATGATAGAGTTGTCTAAAAGACCAAAACCTCTTGCGCCAACCCCACAGAAGTAAGATAAAGGGAGAATATGATGTGCTTACTTTAGCAGACAGACAAACTGAAGTCGAAAGAGGATACACGAAGACCTTATAACCACCATGATAGAAGGTAAAAAAAATAAGAAGAGCAATTTTAATGGATTAGTTCCTTGTAAATATACTATACTTATGATTGTGTAGAAATATGAATATACTAGCCGTTGCCCACGTCTTTGTCCGCGTCCGCGTCTTATCCTACTCCCGTAGTTGCGCACCAGGTTTTTATCCTCCACATCACTCTATCATACGTCATCTCAATCATCACTCCCTTGATCATGTCACCTTTCACGCAATCCATTATTCTTTTTAATGACTACCTCTACCGGTGTAAACACTCGTAACTAAAGTTCTCCTTGTAACATGCGATTCAATCCTTCTACTAACCATGCTAACCTTTTACTCCTTACCTTCTCTACCACTGGGGCTACTCTCAAACTTCTATATATTAACTTAAATATTAGCGTGTGCGCTTATTAAAACTCGTAATCTACGTCCCAGAGTTATTCCAGTTCTTTCTAGAATTACGTGATATCAAACCATACATCGCAGTTATAATATTAGTAAGATATATAAACAACATTGTAAATCATTTATTTATCTTATAAACATTATGTAACGTAGAGAATTTAATTATTTCAAATCTCATCTCATTTAATGAACATTAGAGACGTAAACAATCTAACCTAAGTAATAAATACAAATGTTTAGATGGATGGATGTTTGTTAGAGTTTTTAGCCTAAACTGCTGAACGGATCTCGATGAAATTTGGCATATGGAGGACAGTTTGAAAGAACTAATAGGCTACGCACTTGTGTCTTTTAATTCCACGCGGATGGAGTCGCGGGGTAATCTATCTATACTATTATAATAAAGCGTAAACACACACTTCTTTGTTGCCTAAGATGTCAGCAATTACAGCATTTCTTTGAATAATTCTTTTTTTAATAAAAAGCCCTACACTTACGTAATAAGGCTATATATTTTCACGCCATTAAACTTAGGGGGTAAATATTTTGGATAAAAACCCTAATGTGGGAAAGAGACCATAAATTGCTGCCAACATCAAGGAAGCAAGATTGCCAAGGTTTGTAATTTTTATATTTGCTATCAATATATTAATAAAATTCCCATAATTTCATGCGGATGAAGCCGCATGGGAACAGCTATTTATTATAATAATTTCAAGAACATAAAGATTTAAATATAGCTTAATAGTTTTAGAGCCCGCTTTAACATCTTCTACCACACAGAAGACAGACGTGAAGTGGAAACAATTAAACGTATAATATGAGTGCGCGTGCTGAAGGTGCTTGTATTAAAAAATTTTGGTGCATAATAAAAAAAAAATTAATAAATGGAGAGTTTTTTTTTAACATCTGTTTAGATTGTCGATGTCCACATAAACACGTGTAAGCTGATATGTTCTGGATATCTCTTGTGTTTTTTTTTTCTAAAACATTTTATCTGCAATTGGTAACATTACTACATTTAATTTAGCAGAGATTCTAAATGTATCAAGTTTTGCCCTGTGGTTTTACTCAGGAGATCTATAACTAGTTTTATTTCTTACCAATGATTACAGATGATTATAAATTTACTTTCGCCCGC